CCTTCTCTCGGCCGCGGAGCAGCAATCCCAAAGCTACCGTCTTCTCCTGCTTCCATCCAGATAGCTCCGCCACAGCCTCGAACACTTTCAGGAAGGCTCTCACATTTCCATCCTAGAACACCTTCGGCCACGGTATCTTCATCCTGGCAGCGACACCAAATGTAGTGAAGGAGAACACAGGTGAGGACAACCAAATTGTATTTAGCGAGAATTACAGAGTTAGTTGGTAAAATAGGAAAACCATATCGTAAACGGTTAAATTGCACATATTCAATCAATCATCAGTCCATTGTCTGACATTTAACTTATTCATCAGTTTCATACAAATTCCATTGTGTTCCCACTCTTCCTTTCTTGATCTTCCCCCATCTTCTGCTGCCAGACATTACGTTTACACTCACGTCATATACTACTTATAAGTGGCGCGCACCACACTACTACTAAAATTATCCATAACAGTGATATATCTACATCAACAAGTACTATAAATAATGCTCATCATAATGATAATGCTAACAATAATACACAGTGCGATCATAACGAAAACTAAAGTGATGTAAACCGTCAATTGCATCCAGCAACTCAAAAAAACTTAACTACTCAAAACGTTTAAGTAGTCAAAACAACAACAATATTAGTAATCATGATAAAGCAAATTTAATAAATAATAATTTGCCACATTACATGGCACAATAACAAGTAAAACGTGTGTTTTCTACAAGTTGTTGAATGGAAATTTGATAGTTCGTCCGTGAAAAATCAGCTGTCAATCGAGACAATTATGGCTAAACGCAAAGAACACCATGAAGAACGTCGCTGATTTCAGTCAATGCTGGACCCGGTTCAACCCCTCTCTAACGTTTATGGTTTTACTGTTGTGGTCCGAGTCATGGTCTTCTCCGTCATTCAGCGGCACATGTTACATACTCAAGAAAACACATCATGCCTGTATTCATGACGAGTTTTCGGAAGTAAATCTGATATTCTAGTACGAGCCTGCAACTACTTTTGCCTGCATATTCATCGTGTGTGGATGTAAGATCACTCTTAGAAACGTCAGAGTGCTGGTCAGGTGTTTCGTTCTATATTGGAACTCAAGATTGAAAGCGCATCAACATGACCTCATCAGTGCGAATCAAACACAAGACTATCAGTCGCACGCTATGATGATAAAACTTTTGAGAACAAATTGAGTATTGAAAGGAGTTCATATCTAGTTTCAACATATAAGCTTCGGACAACAGAAGCTTACCATGAAATATCGATTATTGACTAAAATTACAAACATATGTATCAGAATTCGGTTTCACATTATTTTGTTGTTGGTTGTTCGCTTGTGCAACCAGAAGTATTGTGTTTCACCTCTTGTTCTGAGTAAGTATGTGATAACAGCTGTTGATTCAGATGACAGAATAGATTAGCAGGGTACAACTTCCGAATTTTCAATTTTATTACCAAATCATAAAATTCCTCTGTGTATTACCATCATTTCTATCATGATGAATATTCATTTACATGCTATCAAAGCCAGATATGGATATGTACTTTATATACATACGGATACATATATAAAATGATTTAAAATTTATTGAGCCTGAACTAGACAGCAACAACAGCCGTTTTTTGAAGCAATGTAATGATTCTGTGCAGAATGTATAATATCTTTTCATTTGAACTGGTGACTGAAATAATTTAGATCACTATGAGCATTGGGATAAATGTTTCATCTTATAATGGGACCCGTCATCACTGAGTATGCACAACTTCGTTATCAACAGTAGAGGTAAACACATTTAGTCTTACCTGTTTACTGCTACATAGATGACCACTGAATCAACTATTACTGATATTGTCCTAATGCCTGAAACTAATCATCTGACCCCACATATGATTTATTTCCAGCGGTCACATCTCCAGTTCAGGATCACGAACTCGTACATTACATACACGAAGAAAAATAACTGTTCTGTTCATTCTACGTTTTTTACTTCAAAACAATCAAATATGTCTTTATTATTATTTACGAGGAATAACAGAACAAAAAACATATATTGATTTTATGATGCAGTGTTTTCGTTAGATTCTCTTCCCTATAAAAACTGATATTTAAAATTATTTACATAATTTCATTTGCATAAAGGCGATTCATGAAATACGTATATGCCTATATGGTAAATGGATTCATTTTCCAAAAAATCTGAAATAATATTCCCACTCTACTGAGAAATCGAGCAATACAAACACGCATAATCTGGTCAATTAATAAAGTTTTGTGCATATAATTGCGTATTATTCGGTGTTACAATAATTGAAATGGTTATCAACTACTTCGTTAATAATCTATGCAACTACTAACAAAATACTACAACTTTATTGTACGACGGTATGCCTAATAAGCAGTGAGTAAGTTAACTTTGGACTTCTAATACAACAATTTTCACGGTTGCTGAATTTCGATGTCCATCGGCCTGTGTAATGGGTTGAATGCTTATCCACTGTATAGTTTAATCGAATCCGCTTTCAGTTACCATCTACCTTTGAGAAAACTGCGTGTAATTCAATGACACTAACATAGTCATCTTCACTTCTGTAGATTTTGTGGAAATTCAGTCGAAAAATATGAAAAAGTTAAACTACATATCATTTAACAAGCTAGTAGTAGTAGCTAAGGATAAAATGGTGATTGAAGTGAACGGAAGTGAATTCGAAGTTTAAATTAGTAATCATTTTTAAGGTGCATGCATATCACACTGACGGTTCTCGAATGCAATGTGATCAGCGTCGTGGATTCCAATAATAGCCACTATCGCTTTCGGGCTACGGAGTTTATTTTTGAGTCGAAAAGTGTTTCTACCGAAACAAAGAATGTCATGGTAAGTAGGATGTGATAGTCCGTATAATAATAAATGTCAAGAGTTGAGTGAGAGTTGAAAGTTTCGAATTGGGCGAATCTTAATTATCCAAACGATTGATGACTGATAATCGTTCAGTGATTTGTATGTGAACGCTGTCTAGGTGAATATCGATAGAGAGCAGTATTAGGTCTATTCATCTAGCGATACTTTTTTGACATTATTGTCAATTTTAGGAAAGCGTTCAAACATTATAGAACAAACATACAATATATTGCTGTTCTTCATAAAATCTGTAAAGGCGTTTTATTAGCTGGCTCCAGAATATGAATTGATTTGCCGGCTCAAATATATTAATTCAATTTCAGTTCAACTAGATAAACTGCTAAAAAACATTTCATTATAGTATTTTGAAGAAACGTGACGTAAATTGAAATCCTGAAAAGACCAATGTCAGATAACTTTCAGAAACGTGGAAATACCGGACAGTCCTTTCGTCCTAGTATGGGACTCATCGGCGGTGCATTGCGAGTGAGGCTGTTCACCTCAACTGAACACAGTCCATGAGGGTGCTCAATATGATGGATTGATAACAGTTTCATATAAACTATCCAGAGTAAAAAGATGTGAAACAAATGATGGTGAAAGGTCTTTTCAGTTTTCATTTCAAGGATCCTCTGTTTTACACTCATCCGTACAGTGGACTTATTGAGAAAGATATAATTAGACTATTCAGATAGCATATAATTTCAGTTTGTAACCGTTTGTGGATATCGTATCGAAACATCCACTGAGTATTTGTTGAGAATAGGATGATTACCATTGATTTGACTGCTTTCAATATTATCATCCTTTTCCTGCTGTAATAAAGTTGTTTTACAATCTGTAAAACAACATGAATATAGGAATAACAGATCAACTGCTTGCTTACTTACACCTGTTTACGCCTATCAAACTTAGACCGTCGAAATCAAGCCGGCGGATCTGAAGTGACCGAGTTACATCTTGTCTTTTCATGCAGTTCATCGCTTTTCTGAATGTATGTTCTGTCCAACTGCAGTCCGTTACATTAAAATTTAATTAAACTAGCTGTGTAAACAAGATAACGTTTGTTAATCGATGATTACATTTTTGAAAGCCTACATCAACGGAAGATGTAGAACGTTGATGATTTATGTGAACGGTGAACCTGATTGTTCTAAGGCCTGTTTGTTTATGTTAGGACATGAAATCGAAAATTTCTTATCATGTGGATTGCGTATTTTGTATACGTGAACCGATTTTAATTTGAACACACATACAAGTCCGCTGATACGAAGAATTACGGTTATCGTAAATGAAACATTCTAATTTTCTCTCGGATAGGTGAGAAAGTGTCGGTTAGTAAAGTTATACATTGTACCATCATCGGTTATTTCTCTCCCGTAATCTATTCTCTTGATATCTGTACATACTGAAACGCAATTTAAATGATATCAGAATATTTTATGCGTATTGCTCTCATTAGAAATATCATATATAAAATGGTCTAAGTATGAAATTGACCCCAAGCTACATGAATTTGTAATCGTAATGATTCATTGTATTTGATGCAAAGCAGTAGTGAACGTGTTTAATCCACCGAGTCGCACTAGTCAATAATCATGACTTGATAATATTATTTATAATGAGGTAACAGTGACTCAACATCTTATCACTCTTATCCTGCTTGTCAAGTCGACAATTCACCAGTTCACCTTCTTTCCAATGGAATTTCCTAATTATTAAGCGATTTGCATTATCGAGTATTAGGTTATATATTCTTCATTCTCGCCTTGTAAATTAACTAACTATAAATGACATCACCGAAAACAACATTTTCTTCATTGAATAATCTAATTTCTTAATTCGAAATCCTTTGTTCGTATGAATCCTAACTATCGTTTACCAGTTTCGCTAACATATTCCCAATGACATTGTCATCCCGAAAAAAAAATTCAAAAGTTCATTTCACATTGTTAGTGAATAATAGAGATTAACACATATTATTATTACCCGATTACTCTACTGTTTCTCAATGAAGAACTCATTATTAGTTCATGTTATTTGATAATTATATATTGTTATTATTGAAAAAAAAGGGAAAAAAAACATTTATTTATTTGTTAATTTGACAAAAAAAAATCATTTGTACTACTAGTTTGTAATTCAGCAAAAAAAAAAATTGATTATCCAATACGCATTATCATCCTCATCATCATCATCAATTCTCAATTGGCGTTTGATTAGTTTCACTAGAAATTAAAACAAAATAGATTGATTAATGACAGACAATTTTATTCATTATAAATAGACATATTTACCATGAACAAATAAACAGACTTCACTGATTTATATCAACCCAATTTAACATGCGTAGATTGAGTCGATCAGTTATGGTGTAGATAGATCCACGAATGGCATTACTGATTCTGAAACTGCCATTTGATGAAGTGTCAACTACTAGACAATGAAAAATGTTTGTTCAAATGTTCATTTGATCAAATTTTATCCTAAATTTTTTTCATCTATAAATATCTAACTGTGCACTGAATTCACTAAAATTGATGTTACCCTCTTTTTCATATCTTATTGTTATTCAAATTTTGACAAACACTTGAACAATGACAAACGTTATAAATAGTTTACTGGCATAATATATATGTGAATGAATATCATTGGATTTGGTTACCTGAGTAGAGCATTCTCAATTCTTGTTTGTAAATAATGGTGATCTGAAATTGCAGAACATGTCATTAATTATCGATTACTTGTGTTTCACTTATAGAATAGTTTGATAGTTCGATATAATCAATTAGTATGACTCCCTGAACAAGATTTGATGATTGCATGGTATCATGGTTAGCAACGACATCTATCCTGTCATTGGAAAGGAGTTGCATCAATGAAACTTGAAACGCTTTATTCTTTTCAGGTACAAATCAGTTGTATATAAAGTTTCTTATTACAATAAAGACTATCAAATGTGTGCGAGTGGTAATGATATTGGTTTTAATAATTGATATATATATATATATTGTATCTGTGGAGTTCGTCTAGCACGATTTCACAAAATCCGTTCGAATCTCTTCTGTATTCCAAACTGTTTTTAAGTTAGATATGTGAAGTTTTCGACAGTTGAAAATATACACAATACTAAACTACAAACAATCGAATTGAATAAATAAAATAAATCATTTGAATCTTACTTATTCTGGAATGATAGAGGTAAACGTCACGATATTTCAGAGACGTATAAGAATCTAATTCTGTGAAGTCTAAAAAAACGATATAGAGAAACAGCCGTAAATGTGGATTATTCGAAGGAAACATTCAATCTATTCTAAGCATCTAATAACTGCAAATCACCATCTACAGACCTTATGTGATTTAAACAATGTAAATAGAAAACAGGAGGTTGCTAATATCTGTCTACACTGGATCTCTTGATATTTTCAACCAACTCTAACCTTCATTCCGAATGTTTATTTGATGATTATATGTAAAAGGATGAACTGTGATGATGACATACTGAATCATTATTCAAACAGAAGTGATAACACACATAGCTTCTACATAATATCTTATGCATCGATGTAAGCAACAGACAGACTGTACTGTTTTCATGATGTTGAGGCAGTACTATTTCAGTGTATTGGGAGAAAAAAATTAAGCACCACATAAATCATTTGTGTACGTTTCGCAAAATGTATAAAATGTGGATAGCAATCAAATTGCAAGAAGCACATTCAAACTCAATGCGGACTCGTTTGTATCGGAATGTTCATGCCGCGTAGCTCAGTGTCGACATTCACTCTGAGATTCAATCAAAGTGCCTTTCATATAATACAACACTATGTCATTCGTGAATATCCGAATAACCAGTCACTTGTGTACTTGATTTAATCAAAACCATTTCAAAATGGATTTATGTACTTCTGTGAGTGAATTCTGTAAATTTCGGTAATCTAACGTTTATATTATTTGTTATTATCATGAATTATCAATGAAAATATACTTACTTGAACTTTTATCTCTTATTAGTTCTAAACAAACACTTTTAGGGCGATACATTTCTTATTAATTGAAGAGAAAGAAATATTGAAAATTATTACTTTTACATATTTACATATAAAATCTAAATGACTATTTATTCTCCTAATAAAAATCATGGTTATTTAGAGTGAATCAAGAATAATGAGTAACTATTCCCGTTTGCTATCTACTTATCTGGTCAGGAATTCAGCGTCTACCATTGAGTTATTAAGTTGTAAATATAAGAATGATGTGATGCAGTTGCATTGTTCAAAATCTCTGAATATTTCAATAAACAATTGTAAAATCAATGACAATGAATGACAACGTTCGATATTCCAGGTATGATAAGCTCGTTTGTGTTCAGTTTATTATTGAACACACTATGAAATGAAATATCTTACTTTAGTCAATCTTATGTATTGGGCAACCTCGCACATCTTCATGTACTTACACTTGAGAACGTTGAAATCAATTAGTCACGACTTCTTACAACAACTACATACATATTCCTGAAAAGCTAGTTTCTAGTGAACACATGACAATTGTCTGTTGGGGATGTTAGATCCCCAGAACTTGCTTGGCAAATATCTTTATTTTGGATTTATTTCATGAACCGACAAGTTGACCTGTAAATTGTAGTGTCTTATCATTCATTCATTGTACTTTCGTTTGAATTATTGGATAACTAACTGTATTGACCATAATTTTGTATTTATGTGTGCTGGCTGTTGTTGTAGAATACAGTCTCTACACTGGTCAAGACTTCTGTTTCGCAGTTTCGGATTCAAGGTGGCCTACCTGGACACTGGTAATTGTCTCGTTTGCGTCTATTGACTAAGGTGAACTCGTAATAGCTTCAAGCGTACAGTAGTGACGAGCGTAACATTCTCATTATAGAATGAGGTGAACATCCTAAGATGTGCTCAGTAGAGAGAGACTAGCAGCGATCAACTATAACCAAAGTTTCTGACTTACGTTGAAAAGGGACAGCAGTTTCATCAAAACATGTATTTATTTGCGATAAATCCAAGTGAACTGTTGCTGTATAGATGGAAAGATATTCAACAGATAAAAAATTATGACAAAATGCGAAAATACAATGCATCGATGAATATATTTATCAGGGTTTGTAGATTTTTATGAAGTTTGTCATCTAATCACTCAATATTTTTCAAGTATGCATGTTGTGCGTACCATGGTGAGACTATTTTTGAACTTCGTCTAACAGAATAGATATTTTCAAGGTTGCAAAATAGTTTTACCAATTGATATCACTTATAAATTCTTTTGAACAATTAGTCATCCACATGTATTCCTTTATAATTTCGAAGTGAGTAAGAATTATTTTCTTCATTTTTTTTTTATTCTAAATCTTCGGGTTTCACGTACAACAATGTTGTAGATTTCTGTGTCTATACACACTGCACTAAATTTAGAGTAATAATGATCCCAATGTGTGTTCAACTGCTTTAAGTAATATAATAAATAGGAGGCATGCAGTTAGTTAGTTATTGAAAGGAACTAACGAAATTCAACACTTTGTAGTCTTTGAAAAGATTTAAATTCTAAGAAATCAATGAAAAAAAAAAGTATTCTCATAATTTTCAATAAAAAAGCTTGCATATTGATTCATAAATTAAATTTGATAAATTTGATGTTTACAATAATAATAATAATAATAATAATAATAATAATAATAATAATGACCGTAACAGCCAAAGATTCTTATTCATAGTATACCAGTAATATTGTTAATACAAACGAACAATGCAAAGCATTCACGATATTAAAATCAACAGTATCCAACTATTCTAAGTGAATTAATTATTCATAGAGAGAGGTAGGAAAAATCAAATCCAGTCAACTATGATTGTTTCAATCCGGTTCATCACAAGAAGTATGCTCTAAGAGGCAAGTTTGAAAGAATTAGTGACTCAACAATTTTTTTTTCACTATTTCCCTGCCTGTATCTCCAGTCAAAGAGAGATTGTAAAGTGTCAGGTCAATAAAGTCAGTTAAAAATTGCAGTCCAAATGTGTAAGGATGAAATTGTGGTGAGTAATAATAAGAATATGTTGTTGCTCTCACGTTGCCAATCATAGCCTTGGCACAAACCCATTATCTTATTTCTATCAAACGATTATTCACTTTCATTTTCAAACTGACAATTTTTATTCGCCTACATCTTTGACTATTTTTTTAATTGAATACGTGTTCGCATTGTTGACTACTTCACATATCACATGCCTCACTGATTTTGCGCCTATGTATCAATCAATTGAATTCATAGAAACAAAACCATATTGGATTTCTATTTAACGCCATTTTCTAAATAGATTTCATCAAATCCTGTTAGACAAGAATGAAATGGAAAAATTTTTTTTTCTCAACATAATAATCGTTTGTTGAATGTGCATCCTCTCGAGTCACTAAAAATCGATAGATGGATGGTAATACTTCCTCGTCCCTCACTATAAAAATCGATCTACAGATGAATTGATTTCAGCATCAGACAAAACATTCACCAACAATGTAACACAGAATCAAATGTATCTTAGGTTAATAGAATGAACACGTTTTTTACCGGTTGCAATCACTTTGCCAAATAAGCCTTTCAAACGTTGAGTTTCACAGTCGAAATCTAGAAATATGAGTGTATATATAGAGCATCAAAATTATTTGTTTCACATACAGTCATCGATAATTTGAGCTTCAGCTGGTAGGTGAGTTTTCATGCTCGCTGAAATGTAGACCATATTGCGAAGTGAATAGTTTTAAAAACAAGGTAGTTTAATTAAAATTGTAATATAGGATCGTATAGTACTTCAATTATTTCTAATAAAAAACTAACAACAACAAAACAAAATGAACAAGGTTCCTATTTACAACACTAGTTACAAATTTTTTTGATGATATTTGCATCCTGGATGCAAATTTTGTTTGAATTATGATATTGATTAGTTTACATTTAATTAGTTCGGAGAAGTGATGCGTACGTGCGAAGAATTTTGAATAATAAATCAATTACATTTGAATCTCGTTAACTTATTACTCATGTGGTGTACGTTTTTGATTTCATGTACGTGTGCGAATGGAATACAAAATTATTAATTTGCATTGGTGATTTGAATCTACCAATCTACGTTTACGATTGATCAGTCTGTTTGACATTTGTGTTGGTCTGTTCGGATTATCTCAATTTCGTCTTTGTAGTACTAGAGCGAATCGCAGAGGTGAACAGCGGTTTGTAGTTGAATTCAGGATGTGCGATTGCCGATTTAAAATTCGTCGGCAGCTGGATGTCACTGCAGGATGCTTTAAGGCCGAGATTTCTCTCTATGACTCAAAACCCAGTATTTACACCCCAAACGAAATTGTGTTATTTCCCATAGTGAACATCGCTTCTAAGATAGAAATATATTCAGCTACAGACGAGTCCTAAACACGGAGTGAGTGCGCCTTACATTTCACTCCGAACCGCCAAACATCCAGGCTTTAAGGAACTCAATCAAAAAAAGGATTATGAAGGCAGTAGATGCATTTAGCATCTAGAGATATTATTCAACGTTTAAATCTTAACAAACGGTACTGAGTTAGCAACTTGAAATGACCAAACTATACAATGAATCAGTCAAAATACTGACAAAAAAATATCAGACTAAATAAAATAAATTACCTAACAGTCCAGGTAGCATATCATCGGATCGTATTATCTCCTGTATTATACCTCCGATAATTTCTACAAAATTAAATAAATATTTAAGAATATTGAATTTACATAAATAAAAATTTCAATCATTCAGTCATTGAATATAATTTAGTCAATTGATTAGTGTGTATATATTGAGAGAACATTGTAAGCATATCATCGAGTGATCACTCCATTGATATTCTTGTACAAATACGAATGAATCGTACAATGAACTTTAAATGATGAGGAAAGACAAGCAAATCAACCTTTTGTTCATTTAAATAGGGTGAAGCGATCAAGTTTAGACAGTAACATGATAAGATTAAATTACAAATAGTCTATGAAACATAAACTGATCAGTACCTTTCCTGGTTGCAATATTTCGTGCCAATTTTTCAAGAACGGTTGAGTTATCTTCTGAAACATGAAAGAAAGCTAGTTAATTAAAAATGTATCTTAGTGAAACTGAGAAAAGTTTTGCAAGTGGTATGCATTTTCAATGCATTTTCATCAAAAATAATCATTACGTATAGAATGATTAGTAATTTAAATTAAGGTAATATTGTATTCACAGGGCGATCAATCATATCATGTGATGAATAATAATTTGAATCAATGATGATTATAATTTTGTCGATATGCTGATTCTGCTAGCAATTCTATGGCCTTATGTGTTTGAATTTGTGAACAACACATTTGACACGCAATCATTGACCGAAACATCGACTCTCGATTTATATAATCTTTGTGTGTATGCTATCGTTCTCCCATGATGAACGCGATGCATTTATACCAACCATTTTTGATCATTCCATCATTCCATATCAATCTTCGTTGTGATATTACGGACAATCAACTTTTACTTAGGAAGTGATATGTTCGGCGTGTTGATTAATACTTCGATTCACTGAGCGTGTTCAAATCAGTGCAAAATCTCTATTTACATACTTCAAATGAGAATGGGTAATTTGAAGCTGATATGAGGCACTTTTTAATATGGACTATTATTGCATCAGTTTCACTTAGCATACAACGACATTGATCAACGTCTGTATGTTAACAAACGGTAGTTGCATTCAGTGGACAAAGTATAACCATCAATATAATCACTGACTAGATTCCGTATAGATTCATTCGACTGTCAATGTATCGATAAAAATATTGAGCAAATTATCAGACTATATCAATTGAATTACCTTCTCGTGAAATTGTATCATTGCTGGATCCTCTATTCCTCACTAAGTTGCCATCGGTATTAACTACAAAATTAAAAAAATCATTTCAAATCAGTGAATTACCATTAATTTAGATTGAAATTATTGAGTCATTAACAAATAATTTGTCTCAGCCTATAATGAATAAAATGTATATACTTTCTGTGACTACATTGACTTGAGTATATTGACAGCACACTGTACTCATTTCTTCGAGTGATCACTGCGCTGATATTATTTTACAAACGAAAGTGAATTGTGCAAAGAACTGTGAGTGATGAAGAAAGACAAACAGTTTGATTTTCGAGGTAAAGAAACAATGACATATACTTCTTGAATAAATGTACCATCGAGATTTGGACCATTTCGCTCGACCAACTTCATAATGCGTAAAATTCTCTTAATATCTGGGTAACTTCATTGATGAGCACCGTAGATCTGATGTAGCTTTGAGGGCTCGGATAGGAAAGCATGGGCTGTTATTTCTTCAGTCTGGAACTCACAGTAACTGTCAATCAACACCAAAAACGAAATTTTTAAAAATCATGTCAAGAAAGTTCTACAATGTGGGACAGAAACTCGGATTATTACTGAAAACATCATAGAGAAGATGCAAGTGTTTAATAACGCTTGTCTTGGGAAATGCTGCAGATCCATTAGCTAGACTCTTTGAGCAACAACCTGCTAAGGCAGAGAATTAATCAGATTCCAGTGTTGGAATAAATCAAGAAGAAGCGGTGAATGTGACTAAGACACATTGAAGAAAGCACTCCAATGCGGCACAAACAACCTCTTACTTGAAACTCTTAACGTTAAAGGAAAAGAAGTAGACTGAATAAGAAACTACGTCGAGAAATGAGGGCAGACTCGAGAGTAAGGAAGAACATTTTTGAAGATCAAACAAAGTGACCGCAGGACAAAATAGGTACGTGACAGACGTACATTAGTAGGTGGGCAATGATATTTATGAATATTGATTCGATAATGTCGAGTTTGATTTAGCTGTCATTTTATCAATCAAAAATTTATACAAATATCCAACCATGTAAATTAAATTACCTATAATATGTGACGATTCTCGATTGTTCAATCCCCTTACCGTCCCCGATATACCATCAGCATTAGCTGTAAAATTAAGTAATCATTTCAAAGTATTCAATTCACATAACAACATACTAAAAATATTTCTCAGTATTATTGATTAAAATGAGTTCACATTCTGTCAGTACATTGATTGATAGTGAGTATATTGACAGAACATTGAACTCATTTCATCCCATGATTACTGAATTGCTATTTATTGTTTTACACGCACATACACACGCTTAAACAAATCAAAGTGTTTTTCATTCAAACTGCATCAGTATCAAAAATGAAAATGTTGGAATAATTCAGTGAAGAATAATTTGGAAAATTGAAACTGATGATACTTACAAACCCTATTACCAAGCTGTTCATTAGAATTTGAATTTCCATCTAAAAGATAAATTTATGTTTTTTTTTTCAAAAATAAGTATTTCATTAGAACCTTGAAAATTATTACTTGCATGACCAGGAACAATGAGTAAATATCAATATCAGAATATTAAAAAAAAAATAACTATCCCGTTAGGCTATTTTCAAAGCATGATCATTGCAAAAATAACCACTGATTATCAATCAATTGTAATTTTTCTGTGGAACAGATTCATTTTACAGAGATAATATAACTATTTATCTATTTTTCCTTCAAATAGTGAGATTGTTGATGATACACCATTGTCACATAGCTGAAATGCCTATTCTCAAAACAATCTTCACAAATTTACATTAGTATTACTCTCTCAAATTCTTTTTGTACACTAGATCAAATATCCTTATCTTAGAAAATGTTTGAAAAAGTACATTTTAAAAAGATTCAATAACTTACTAGTCAGCTGGGATGCATGGAGAACGATAAAAAGTGAGATGATATGAACAAAACTTGAAGGATACATATTTTCTGAATCCACATAAAGTCTTCTGCCATTATATATCATTCTAAATAGATGGTGGGCGTTAAATTCTTATTAGTTTTACAAAGAATAAAACAAAGAACAAAAACTATTGGGCCACAACAAAATATTTCTTTATCCATTGAACACAGTGTCTGGTTATTGTAGGCGTCATTCAACTCCTGTTTACAAATTGACTAGCGTCAAGGCAACATGGATAACGGTAAAAAAAATATCACTTTTACTTATAAAATAATCTTATCAATAATAAAAAAATAATGTGTTGTCATTTTGTAAAAAAATCTTGATTATTTACTCAAAAAATATATGAAAGAGGTCATGTTAATTAATCTTTTCAGTTGACAATATTATAAGAATTTTATTATTTTGAACTCTGGTGAACATCATCACAATCTGATATTTCTATGCATGATCAAATGATTTGTGCTTTCATATTGATTGTCTCTTCTCAGTAAAAATTAAATTTGCAAATTGTTTCTAATTGACTATGAATCTATACCTTTAAAAACCAGTGTAACAACATTCAATGAAGAAAATGCCTTCAAGCTACGTATTGTTTTGCTCGTTGAAGAATTTTTTGGTTAGTTGGACTTCTACAGAGTGAGGTCGCTAACCGCATGCGCAACTCGCCTATTTTGTCCGGCCTGAGGAGCGAAAGTAACCACACACAAAAGATTTTTAGGTGGAATTATTTTGCAAATTTATATGTTATTGATTACACGGTGAATTCTCATTGCAGTTTTCAATCAAACGATCTAGTGGATGGTCATATCAAATGACACTTGGTAGCAAACATAAGTTGCAGCTACTGAATAACAAAAAGAATATTATCAGTTCTTATAAGTAATCAAATGGTTTATATCGAAAAACAGAGACACACATCACATCATATGCCTTGGGCTACTCAAGGTGAATACTTGGTTCCAGAAACAAACAAATATGAGTTGAATAAAAAGAGCCGTAAAATAAAGGTTGCAAACGAAATTCGTAATAACAACAGGGGTAATTTATTTTCAGTAATTTAGTATAGAATATATGCCAGTGTTCAGAAGTGATCCTATTTGCCAGGTGATATTCATAACAAAGAGCAAGTTTGATTTAAGGCAGTTAAAAGGTAGCATTGACACCTCGTAAATTATTTGAGGACAATTTTAAACAAACTATGACTGAACAGCGAATACAATTCAGAGTTTCAAATCTGATTGAGTAGTTTTATTGCCTAACGCCTGCTCTTCATCTTTGATCTGAATTTAACAATTCCGTAAGTATAATTTGAAATGATCTACGAATTAAGCGAATTCGACAAACCGAATTTATAGAAATTGATTCTGATGAATATTATTGTGCATTCGTTATCTGGACGATGTACAGATATAAAAACGCGATGGTAGATGTAGTATTAAAAGTGGCAGTGGTACTATAGTGAACGAGAACACATGTGGGGCAACCAGATTGTATTTAACGAAAATTACAGAGTTACTCAGTAAAATTGGATAACCATATCGTAAATCTTTAATTGGCAAAATATCATTTCATCATATCGACCTGGACAGTTCCTGTTGCAAAACATCAATCCATTGTCACTATTCATGCGCTTCACAAAAATTCCATTGTTTTCTAATTCATCCTTTCTTGATCTTTCCCCATCTTCTGCTGCCAGACGTTACGTTGACACTAACGTCATATACTACTTATAAGTAGCTCACACCACACTATTACAAATGATGCACTTCAGGCTCGATGCGGTCTCGTGTTTGTTGACTTGACTTAGGCTTCATAGGCTGATAGGAATATGATGAAACATCTGAACTGTAGGTTATACTTGCTATCATCGTTATTTGAAACTCTGACTAGAACCACCGTCAACTCATATTTTGCAATCTCAAGTGATAAACAGTAAATGTGCTTGATATTCTCTGAACAACTAATTAGCTTCTAGTGAATATTTTACTTTAAAATATTTTGTTTTTCATTCACAATGACTTAATTAAGATTGTTAAATAATCATATCAGACATTAAATCAAACTCCGCCATCACATCATGCTATTATATTAAGTTCCATAGAAGGTCATTGGAATAGTTGCATTTTATAAAAATCAAGAATTGATCAATGTCAGTTTGTTAAATCACATAATTTGTCTGAGTCACAATTGTCATTTGAATCGGATGTGACTTGGAGATTTCGATGAATATTCTTGTGTTTTCGGGATCTTGAGAAGGTAAAGGCGTAGCGACGCAATGGTAGTAGTATTAGTAGTAGTAGTAGTAGTATAAGTAGTAGTAGTAGTAGTAGTAGTAGTAGTAGTAATAGTGGTAGTATAAGTGGTAGTACACTACTTCGAAAAACTTCCTCCGGTAAAATGTGAATGTGCTAGATATTCTATGAACAACTAATCAGCTTCTAGTGAACATGTCACTTTATTGGTTCATTCAATGTGACCTGATTAAGTTCGTTGAATAATCACATTACATTTCAGTCCTACTTTAGGAATCATCAATAGCAAAACGAATCCAAGTCCACTGGAAACGGCATTCAGAAAGATAGATTTGCATGGTTTGTAAACAGCAAAAAAGGTATTGTAAACTTTATTGAGAAAACACATTTAACAATCAACAGTCTTGACGAAATAGGATTCAATCCGCCTAATATAATATATTTCAATCGCTTTTAGTTTACATGAATGAATGTAACATTTTACATTCCAGGATACATTGAGTTTGCAAGCGTTTTCAGTCAGTCAAATGAGAGACAAACGTCATAGTCGATTGACGACAATCAACAGATGCATCATTCGTTCTTCCTTCAACTACCACTTGACTATGATGCTTAAAAGGTTTTTGCAAATTACTAGCTTAGATGAGTTCGTAATTATTCAACAAATCATCTTGCATGATGATTACAAACTTGAGAATGCTGTTTCTAATTTATTTCCAAAACGTCATTTTGTGTAACAGTGATAATGTTCATCAATGAAAAAATGATCAATTGCACGAGACGGCTGTCATTTGATTCATGAATTCCAAATTAGATTTCATTAAAATCAAACTTCAGCTCAATATTTCTGCATCTATCATTTGATGATCATGTGCATCTGGCCAGCAATTACCGAATACAAACAAACGCACAACCTGATCTTCATTGTTAACCGTCTTTCGTCTCTTCACGTAATCATTGTGATTTAATGAGTATATCGAGACTATTTGCACAGAATGCACACGTACCAGATGAGCCCTAACGTTCAGTGAGAATAATCTTTTCAGTTGACAATATTATAAGAATTTTATCATTTTGAACTCTGGTAAACATCATCACAATCTGATATTTCTTTGCGTGATCAAATGATTTGTGCTTTCCTATTGATTGTCTCTTCTCAGTAAAAATTAAATTTGCAAATTGTTTCTAATTTACTATGAATCTATACCTTTAAAAACCAGTGTAACAACATTCAATGAAGAAAATGCCTTCGAGCTACGTATTGTTTTGCTCGTTGAAGAATTTTTTGGTTAGTTGGACTTCTACAGAGTGGGGTCGCTAACTGCATGCGCAACTCGCCTATTTAGTCCGGCCTGAGGAGCGAAAGTAACCACACACAAAAGATTTTTAGGTGGAATTATTTTGCAAATTTATATGTTATTGAATACACGGTGAATTCTCATCGTAGTTTTCAATGAAACGATCTAGTGGAGCGTCAAATCAAATGGCACTTGGTAAGCCTGCCTCCGTGTCGCAGCATCGGGAACTGGTAAGCGCTACTCGTTGAATAAATGCCGTATCCATTCCAGACAAGTACGCGAGAACGATGACCGAAGTGGTAATCTGGCAATTTATAGCGTGTCACGGAATACGGAAGGTCATATTAACTGACCAGGGGCCCTGTTTCGATAGACTTCGACGACAGCTTATAAAATAGGGGAACGACATTTTACATTTCATGATCCATAGAGTTTGAATGCGTTTTCTGTCAGTCAAATGACAGATAAACGTCATAGTCGATTGACGAAAATCAACAGATGCATCGTTCGTTCTTCCTTCAACTACCACTTGATTATGATGCTTAAAAGGTTTTGGCAAATTACTAGCTTAGATGAGTTCGTAATTATTCATGAAATCATCTTCCATAATGATTATAAACATAATAATGCCTTTTGTTATTATTTTAAACAATGTAATTTTGTGTAACATTGATAAAGTTCAGCAAATCAAGATGAAAAATTTCACAAGACGGATATCATTTGACTCATGAATTCATAAATTAATTTCATTTAAATCAATCATTAGATCAAATATGTGCAACGCACATTTGATAATCAAGTTGCATTTTAAACAAACTATCATTGAACAGAGAATACAATTAAAAGTTTCAAATCTGATCGAGTACTTTTACTGCCGAACGGCTGCTATTCACTCTTAATATGAATTTAACGATTCCGTAAGTATAATTTGAAATGATATCCGATTTGTAATAGTAGTATAAGTAGCAGTAGTAGCAGTAGTAGAAGTAGTAGTAGTAGTAGTAGTATAAGTAGTAGTAGCAGTAGTATAAGTAGTAGTAGTAGTAGTAGTAGTAGTAGTAGTAGTATAAGTAGTAGTAGTGGTAGTAGTAGTAGTAGTAGTAAAAGTAGTAGTAGTAGTAGTAGTAGTAGTAGTAGTAGTAGTATAAGTAGTAGTAGTGGTAGTAGTAGTAGTAGTAGTAGTAGTAGTATAAGTAGTAGTAGTGGCAGTAGTAGTAGTAGTAGTAGTAGTAGTAGTAAAAGTAGTAGTAGCAGTCGTATAAGTAGTAGTAGCAGTAGTATCAGTAGTAGTAGTAGTAGTAGTAGTAGTGGTAGTAGTAGTATAAGCAGCAGTAGTAGTAGTAGTAGCAGTGGTAGTAGTAGTAGTAGTAGTAGTAGTATAAGTAGTAGTAGTGGTAGTAGTAGTAGTAGTAGTAGTAGTATAAGTAGTAGTAGTAGTAGTAGTAGTAGTATAAGTAGTAGTAGTAGT